GAAGCAATGGGTGAGAGAGCCTTGCTGTGACGCGAACTGTTGCGTGAGCAGCTAGTAACTTCTTCGTTTTCGGTTGAGCGTGAGCTTTGCTGTGACCCGAACTGTTGCGTCAGTTACTAAACTTTTCGGTTCAGCAGTGTGCAAGCCTTGTCTGAGGCAGGGCACGCATGTTTTACGAGCGTTGAGCCCGGCACTAAAAGCGATGACGCTGCGGAGTGGGGTTTGCCTTCTGCCAATGAGGTCTGCCATCTGAGCCAGTGCATGTGTGAGCGTTGCCCAAACTGTTGCCTGAGCAGCTGGTAAACTTTTCGGCTAGTCAGTGACGAAGCCGTGCTTTGACGTAATCTCAGCCTTCTGTTTCTAAAGGCCACCAAAACGTGGTTGCGTTGCGGTGTAGGGTTTAGGATGAGTAAGTGAGCCTTGCTGTAGTCCATGTGGGCAGCCAAAACTCTTTGTTGACATCTAGCAGGTTTTTCCGAATGCACGAATGTGAGCCCGTCATATCATGCTCATTCGCAAGTGCTTCTGAAATGTTGAGCCTGTTGCAAGGTCGAAGCTGAGCGCCGTAGTCGTTTTACGTAGAGCAACGCGCAGCATGGGAAATCTGGATCCGAAATTGTCCGCTAGCAGAAAGCTAGGACAGGCAGACTCTACTGATCCGCCGCAGTTTGATTCGAGATTGTATGCTGCAGGGTGTGAGGATACAGGCGAGGGAACCTGAACGAGCCCAGCGGTGGCGGGCAAATGATTTCACCCTTAGGACAAAGCCGGTGGTACAAATACTCAGCTGCCAACTGAGTTTGATTGACTCCGGCATGTCTGGGACCTTCCACGTTCTAATAGTGTTATACTACCCAAAGGGTGTGTAAGTGGGTTCCCTTGGTTTTTGCAGCAGATGGGGTGGGTTCCCTGTGGGTTCCCTTGTTTTTTGCAACACTTCAGGTGGGCTACATATGGGTTCCTTTGTTTTTTGCAGCATTTCGGGTGGGTCTGTGTATGTTCTTCATTGATTCTTCACTTAGCTTTCTTGTAGATTGCCATGGTTTTTGCAGCATGGACGGTGGGTTCCCTGTGGGTTCCCTGTGGGTTCCCTGTGGGTTCCCTGTGGGTTCCCTGGTTTTTGCAGCATTTTTAAGTGGGTTCCCATGGTATTTTCCATTAAACTTCGCTCAAAGGTCTTGGCTGGCTCCCTTGGTTTTTGCAGCATGTCAGCTGGGTTCCCTGTGGGTTCCCTTTTTTTGCAGCATTTTTAATGGGCGACGGTGGGTTCCCTGTGGGTTCCTTGCTTTTTGCAAGCATTGCAAGTGGGCTATATTGCGCAAAGGTCTGGGCGGGCTCCCTTGGCTCTTGCAGTGTGTCAGCTCGGTTCCCTGTGGGGTACATGTGGGTTCCCATGGTTTCTCCAGCTCGCGCATTATGTTTCAGAGAAGAGTGGAACTGAAGAAGATGTTCAGGACAGTGGCTGCAGGTGTGGCCCAGTTCCATCGCACATATTGCGCTGCATTTGGATTTGCTGCTTTGAAGTAAGGCTGCAAAAAGCACGTCTGCTGTTTGCAGTTTGGGTCGAGACCAAAGACGTTAAATAGGCTCACCTCTGATGCACATGAGGCTCGCCGCCCTCCTATTGTAATGCTCTTGATAAGTTTGCTGCGGCTAAATGCTGGCACGCTGATGCGAGGATTTTGCGGCAGGTACTGGCAGATGTTACTCTCAGATTGTAGCTTCAACTGTTTCGATTGCTTGCTGTACGTGCGCGGTGCTTTGCGCCTGGAAGCTCCACTTGCAGGAGCTCTTTTTTCCTACAGAATCGTAGGAAGCCTCGAAGGGCCTCCCCTGAAATCTACCAACGTGAAGCACAAGATAGCAGGGACGCTGCAAGCTGCAGGAACTACAAGACCAGAAGACTGCAGAGACTACGGTAAGATTGTAAGCTCCGAACCCACGAGGGAGGCTTTGGAAGGCTCAGTTTCTGTCTCGAAACCCCACAAATGACGGTTCGAGAGGCTTTGCACTGTTGGTGAAAATCGCAAGCTTCGCGACTCCAAATGTAGGGGTGGAAAAGTCCAGCAATTCTGGCTTCGCTTGAGCGGGCCTCCCCTGTAGTCCATGTGGGCAGCCAAAACTCTTTGTTGACATCTAGCAGGTTTTTCCGAATGCACGAATGTGGATCCGTCATTTGGAGAGCAACATGCAGCATGGAAAATCTGGATCCGAAACTGTCCGCTTGCAGAAAGGACAGGCAGACTTACTGATCTGCCGTGGTTTGATTCGAGATTCTGCAGGGTGTGCAGGGTGTGACAAGGGAACCTGAAAAGCCCAGCGGTGGCGAGCAAATGATGTCACCCTTAGGACAAAGCCGGTGGTGCAATACTCAGCTGCCAACTGAGTTTGATTGACTCCGGCATGTCTGAGACCTTCCACCGTTACACCCAAAGGGTGTGTAAGTGGGTTCCCTTGGCTTTTGCAGCAGATGAGGTGGGTTCCCTGTGGTTTCTCTTGTTTTTTGCAACACTTCATGTGGGCTACATATGGGTTTCTTTGTTTTTTTGCAGCATTTCGGGTGGGTCTGTGTATGTTCTTCACTTAGCTTTCTTGTAGATTCCCATGGTTTTTGCAGCATGGACGGTGGGTTCCCTGTGGGTTCTCTGGTTTTTTCAGCATTTTTGAGTGGGTTCCCATGGTTTGTGGCAGTATCGACGGTGGGTTCTCTGTGGGTTCTTTTTTTTTTGCAACATTTCAGGTGGGCTACATATGGGTTCCCTTGTTTTTTGCAGCATTTCGGGTGGGTCTGTGTCTGTTCTTCACTTAAATGTCTTGTAGATTACCATGTTTTTGCAGCATGGACGGTGGGTTCCTTGTGGGTTCCCTGGTTTTTGCAGCATTTTCAAGTGGGTTCCCATGGTTTGAAGTGGGTTCCCATGGTTTTCCAGTCTATATCACTCAAAGGTTTGGGCGGGCTCCCTTGGCTTTTGCAGCAGCTGGGTTCCCTGTGGGTTCCCTAGTTTTTTGCAGCATGTTTAGCGGGTTCCCATGGTTTAACAGCATCGACGGTGGGTTCCCTGTGGGTTCCTTGCTTTTTGCAGCATTGCGAGTGGGTTTTCCCAGCCTTTATTGCGCAAAGGTCTGGGCGGGCTCCCTTGGCTCTTGCAGTGTGTCAGCTCGGTTCCCTGTGGAGTACATGTGGGTTCCCATGATTTCTCCAGCTCGCATCTGCTGTTTGTAGTTTGGGTCGAGACCAAAGACGTTAAACAGGCTCACGTCTGATGCACATGAGGCTCGCCACCCTCCTATTGTAATGCTCTTGATAAGTTTGCTGCGGCTAAATGCTGGCACGCTGATGCGAGGATTTTGGGGCATGTACTGGCAGACGTTAATCTCAGCTTGTAGCTTCAACTGTTTCGATTGCTTCCTGTACGTGCGCGGTGCTTTTTGCGTCTGGAAGCTCCACTTGCAGGAGCTCTTTTTTCCTACAGAATCGTAGGAAGCCTGGAAGGGCCTCCCCTGTAACTCTTGAGAGACGCCGCGGTCAAAGCTTGCTGTCAGCAGTAAGTTGCAGCAAAGCGACTGCAGTGAGGTGAAACAGTCTACACTTCTCGGAAGCAGGCTTTTAGACGCCCTACACTGTGAGCCTCCCCGGGCCTTCCCCTAAGCCCTCGAAAGCGAGGGAGCCACCTAATTAGTAACAAGCCTTCTAGTTACGGACTCCCACCCTACTATGTCTCCACAGAGCTTCCCTTGGAATTCTTAAGCCGAGACGCCTTGAGCCAAAGGGGTTACGGAACACTACAGGAAAGCATTTCTTACGATCACGAAAGCGCAGTGAGCAGCTCCACAGGAAGAACGCCACGGGAAGTTATCCACGGATACTCCTACTCAGGGAAGTTTGTACCCTCTGGTACTGTTGTGATGGCGAAGAGGTTGAAAATTGAGAGAAAAGGCGACAGGATGTGGAAAGCAGGAATCAAGACAGAGCAGGACACATGGATCGTTGCACAGCCTGATGGCATACATATCACACGCAGCGTGAGGCCACTACCAGAACAGTACGACTCCAAAAGAAGAAGCAGCACAGAGGTCCATACCTGGAACCTCAACACACCATTTCTTGGAGCAAGAGTACTTCCAGAGAAGAAGCAGAGACAACGACCACAGCTCAGCATCCTGCCCACCAGTGAAGAGCAGCAGCGAGCACTTGAAGACAGAGAGGATCAAAGCGAAAGCAGCAGCATGAGCGTGACGAGAGACAGAAAGAGAAGTTGATGAAGCCACAGAAGGAACAACCAAGCCCAAGCAGACTCAGGGGTGCTGGCAGCGCCAGGCTCGTAGCCAGAGAATACAAAACGGATTTTCTCCTGCGACAAGCCCAGGAATTACAAAACTGGTGCCCGCTGGCTCTTGCCAACAATTGGGCGATCTAGAGTGTCGACATGAAAGACGCGTTTTTTACAAGTCAAAGAACACCTTGTTTGTGTCGAGTACCTGAAGAAGCAGCTCACGTCGTACAGTCAATGCAGGAACAACCAGAACGCAGCCTTGGAACTTGGTGTTGGAAGTTTGAAAGAGTTCTGCCAGGTCAATGTGACGCATCCAGTCTTTGGTCAGACTTTTGTGATGGACTTTTGGTGGAAGAGGAGTTTGAGCGTTGTACAGCAGTTCCAGCACTTTAACGTCTTCTACGACAAGGAAAAGTGGTTGGAGTTTGCATTCTGCATGTAGATGACTTACAGTTTGCAAAAAAGAAGGCGAAAAGAGTGAAGTTTCTCCTGAACATGATCGGCATGTGCAGCAGCGAAGGAAGAGTTGGAGAGCAATAGCGAGAGGAAGAAGAAAAGGCACAAGTTGTGAGAAGACTCGAGAAGATCATGAAGAACAAGAGCAGCATGTTGTTTGCACTTTCGAGTTTGTTTGCAAAGACTGAGGCAGCCGATGTACAATACGTACCTTTCGCCGCAGCTCAAGAAGTAGCAAGCCCACAAGAAGTCCCCAGCAGTCCTGGAAGCATGTCGCTTCTGGAAGTTCTGGTGACGCTCGCCATCGTGTGCATGGCGGCATGGATTGTCGTCAACGAGATGAAAAAAGCCGCAGAAGCACAAGAAGTCGAAGAGAGAAGAGAGGAAAGCAGTGAAGAAGGAGAAGAAAGCAGCAGCTCAGGAGACAGAAGAAGGAAGAAGCAAGAAGAAAGGAGAGAGAAGAGAAGCGAAGACTGAAGCTCCTGCCGCTCAGGTGAACTACGACGTCGACTCCTTCAACGAGGAAAAGAAAGAAGTGACAGAGAGAGCAGAGAAGCTGAAGAAGGTTGAGGAAAGCCTGGAGAAGGAAAAGAAGGAGTTCGGAAACCAAAAGGCAGAGTTTGAGGAGACAGTGAAAATGTTTTTGAAGAAGCAAAAGGAGGTGAAGGAAAAGGAAGACAAAGTCACAGAAAGAGAAGAGAAGGTAGAGAAGGACCTAGAGACCCTCCAAGGACAAGCCAAAGCCTTAAGCGAGAAGGAGACAGCCCTTGAAGAAGCTGAGGAGAAGGTCAAAGAAAGAGAAGCAGAGGTCGAGAAGAAGAACAGAGAGGCAGAGAGGAAAGAGAGAAAAGCCCAGGAAAGAACCACCGGCTACGACGAGGAGAGAGAAGACTACGCCAAGAAGTACGTGGACGAAGCAAAGAAGGACTTGGAGAGAGAGCTTAAAGTGCTAAAGCAAGAAGAGAAAGTAAGGAACCAGAAGCTCGCCGACCTCCAGTACGACTACAAGAGCCTCAAGGACGACTACCAGTACTTCAAAGGTTACTCAAAGGAAGTGGACGCACTTCTACTTGCAGCTAAGGTAACAAACATTTCGCTTAGGAGTGTGTTGCCCTGTAATCCTGTAGATGAGCTATTTACCACATGATTTTGTATAGTATGGAACAAATGTTCCACTGTGGTGTTTAGGCTCAAGGGACGCACCCAAGACAGCCGTGCGCCCGAGGAAAAGTGAAGTGCGAATATCTGTGTGAAGTGAAAGGGTCCGGAACGTACCCGTAAAGCGTTTTATGGTAGCGGAGCTGAAGGCCAGGACCTTCGGCTAAAGAAGAGCCCAATACAAGGAGAAAAGAGCCTTGGGCCCCAGTGTCACGGAAGGAGAGAGAAAGGAAAGTTGAATGGCCACGCCAAGTCCAGCTGGAGACGCGGATTTGCCTGTGTCCCCTGGTCACGGTGGTCAAGGAGGAGATACACCAAGTGATACGCCAATGGCGATGCCTGCACCAGACGGAGTTGCAGGAGGATCCCTTCAGGCCCTGATAGGGAATCTGTCGGCAGCAGCACAAGCTTTGGCGAGTGCTGCAGGTACAGGAAGTACCAGAAGTTACGACTCTGCAGCTAAGCTGGTGAAGAGTCCGGATGTGTTCGCTCCAAAGAATCTGGAGGAGGAAGTTTCACAGTGGCCAGATTGGAGTTTCAGTTTCAAAGTGTTTGTGGGCTTCATTGATCCCACTTATGCAGAGGAGTTGAAGAAAGTGGAGCTGGCACCACCAAATCCAGCAGATTATACAGTTGGTGAAAGAGAGAGAAGTACAAAGCTGTATGCGATTTTGGCTTCGTATCTTAGGAACAGGCCATTGAAGTTATTGAAGTCAGAAGGAAGTCCAGATGGATATTCTGTCTGGAGGAGACTGTTTGAAGAGTTGGAGCCGTCAAGCCGAACAAGAGGGCTGGCAATGGCTCAAGCTCTAGTGAGCTTTCCCCAGATGACGAAGGGGACTTCTATCTTAGACTATCTGCTTACCTACGAAAAACTGGTTGCGGAATACGAAAAACTGTCCGAAGGAAAACCCTACGATGAGAATCTGAAAATCGGAACAGTACTCAAAGGTTTGCCAAATGAGTTGAGGAAACATATCCTGATAGGATTAACCCCTACGACGAAGTACGCAGACATCAGGAAAAAGTTGCTGGAGTATGAAAGGAGTACCCAATCGTGGAATGCGGAGAACATTTTGCAGTCTTTCAACATGGAAAGCGCAACGAAGAGTACGCCCTATTCTGGGCCACAGCCAATGGATGTTGATCGAGTGAAAGGAAAAGGAAAAGACAAAGGAAAAGGAAAAGGTCACGACAACAAAGGAAAAGGAGGAAAAGGGTACAACAACAAAGGAAAAGGAAAAGGAAAAGGATACGACAACAAAGGGAAAGGAAAAGGAAAAGGATACGACAACAAAGGAAAAGGAAAAGGTGGTTATAGAAATGCACGAGCAGTGGACGCTGGTGGCTACGGGAAAGGGAAGTTCATAGGAGAGTGCCACATATGCGGAAAGACAGGACACAAAGCAGCTGATTGCTGGCAGAATCAAGGAAAAGGAAAAGGAGGTAAAGGCAAAGTGAGACAGGTAGAAGAGGAAGGAACCCATCAAGGAGATCACGAGAAGAGTTCCTCTAGCAATGCCCCTCCTACGAAGAATGAGACTGGTCAAGTGAGGCAGATCACAGCTGAAGCAGCGCGCCAAGCAAGAAGAGTTGAGATGACACAAGAGTGGAACGATGAGGATGAAGAGCTCAACTTTGTGAGATTGTGTCAAGAGTTTGAAGGTTTGGTTCAAGGAGAGCGAGCTGAGAAGAGTTGAGGAGTTTGATATCTCTTCGAGCGATGAAGTGGAAGAGATCGAGGAAGAACCGACTGATGGTTTGATGGAGTGGTACCAAGGATGGTGGTTCTTGGATAACAGAAGTTGAAAGAAGTGTGAGAATGGTTTCTGAAGGAGATGATGTGAGAAGAGCAGCAAGAGAAGTGGATGCATGTGAGGTAGTGCTCGACAGTGGAGCTGACTGCCATGTGTTGCCTATGGATTGGGCAGAAGAAGTCGGAGAAACTTCGAACTTTGAGTACCATCTGAAAGATGCGCAAGGGAAAGTGATCCCAACGTTGCCTGTGAGGCAGAATGTGACGTTTGTTTTCACAAAGGAGTCTGGAAAGAAGTTAAAGATCACTGACAGTGCTGTTTGCGGCAATGTCACCCAACCTTTGTTTGCGGTAGGAAAGATGTGGAAGCTAGGTTGGGGTACGGTGAATGAAGATGGAAGATTGTGGTTGAAGAAAGGAAGTGTTCGGATACCGATATACTTCAAAAGGAATTCCTCAATGGCGAGGATGTGTATACGGAGACTTGAAGGAGAAGAGATGACGGTACAGCCTGTGAGGCTGGAGCGAGAACTGAAGAATGAGTTGAAGAGTAAAGAAGATGAAGATGGTTGGTTTGTGCTAAATGACGGCACGCCTGCAAGGTTTGATTGGTTTATGGGGAAGACGTTTGACCCAACGGGTCAGTTCCCTAATAGACTCTATGAGGGAGCAGGAGATGAAGGCGATTATTTTCCTTATAGGACAACCTTGCTAGGAAAGATGAAAAGAAGTGGAGAAAGAGTGTTGAATGAAGTGGATTGGAAGAGTATGGATTTCTTTGAGTGTACGGAGATCTGGAAGGATCGCGAAAGAGTGCAACTTGGGGCGAGTCCTCAAGCAAGGTTTGAGGTGATGGTCACCTTGTTGGAAAAGGGATTGAAGGAACCGAGTGACTATGGGTTGCTCACGAATTTGGAAGAGCTTGAAAGAGAACTGGCACAAGAAGGAGTGCCAATGGAGGTCACAGGAACCTCCTCAAGTTCGAAAGACAAAAAGGAAAGTGAGAAAGAGGAACCGAAGAGAGGAGTTCCAGTGATTGGTGAAGATGAGGAAGAAGTGATGGTGATTGGACCAATGAAGTTGACACGCCAGAGTGAGTTGAAGGAGATGAAAGCGGCGTGCAAGTATCTGCATATCTCGAAGAATGGATCGAAAGAGATTTTGTGGAAAAGATTGAAGAAAGAGGTTGCGCTGAGTAAAGTGAAAGCGCAAGCCCAAATCTCTGAGGATATCAGAAAGGAGTTTGAGAGAGAGCCGATTCCAGAGGCTCTGCCTGCTTTACCGAGCCCGGAAGAGATTGAAGCGCATGAGCTGACGCATTTGCCGAGAGCGCCCTGGTGTGAAGCATGCCAGGCAGCAAAGAGCAGAGAAGACAACTTTGAAGACACGAAGGAGAAAGCGCAGCGACCCGTGTTTAGCTTGGACTTTATGTTCACAGGAACACAAGGAGATGAAAAGGAGAGAGATCCGCTTGCTATTCAGCTTGCGGGTGTTGACAACGACACGAAGTTCCTGATAGCTATTGCGGTACCAACGAAAGGAGGAGATGCGGTGATAAACCACGCGGTAAGTGAAGTGGTAAGAGTGTTAGCCCTTTTGGGTTACGCTGAAGTGGTGATTAGAACGGACACCGAGCCAGTGATGATTGCCATCAGGAGAGGAGTTCAAGTGGCAAGAACGAAACAAGGTTTGAAGACGGAGTTGCAAGATGCCACGCCTGATGAGCATCAAGGGTTGCCTGTGGAAAGGTATATCCAAACTGTGAGGAACCTTGCAAAGACGTTGTTGGCGACGGTTGAGCAACGAAGTGGAACGGCCATCGGATCTGATGTCCCGCTTTATAGCTGGGCGTACAGACATGCAGCATGGCTGCACAACAGGTTTCATGTTGGAAGAGATGGCAGAACTGCGTTTGAAGCGACAGTGGACCGAACGTACAAAGGGAAGTTGGCCCCGTTCGGGTCAGCAGTGTTTGGAAAAGCAGTGCCAAAGACCAAGGAGAAAGGAGAACCTTGGGAGAAAGGAGTCTTTCTTGGAAAGGACTACGCGAGCAATCTGAACTTGATTGGCACAGGTAGAGGAGTGATTAAAGCGAGGACAATGAGAAGATGTGCTGAGGCATATCAGCCGGAGCTTTTGCAACTTTCGGTTGGAGCTCCATGGGATCATCAGCTGAAGGCTTTGAGGTTTAAGAAGAAGAGAATTGTGCCTATTGATGATGGGCCAGGACTGCCAAGATTGGCGGTGGAAGCTGACAAAAGAGTAGAAGAAGAAAAGAGAAGCGAGCCTTCGCCGCAAAGCGACCGCCAAGGAAGCTCAAGTTCTTCTAGTAAGAGTTCGTCGCTCTCTGGAGCAACGCCAGAAGCAATGGACGACGAGAGCGATGACGATGATGATGATCCAGGAGAGGTGAGAACAAAGAGAAAGGCGGAAGATGAATTGGTGCCCGATGAAATGACATTGGAAGAGTTTCAAAGAGAAGTTGCAAAGAGGAATGCAGAAGAAGAAGGAGAAGGGTCACCAAAGAAAGAACCAAGAGTAGACGAAGGAACTGGAGAGGTAGAAGAAAGAGTTGAAAAGGTGCCGAGACTTGGAGACGAAGCACGAGGAAGCGCGGCACGAGTGGAATACCACATTCGGAGATTCGCCAAGAGCGAGGATCCCGAAGAGCATGGAGATGAGTATGTTGATCTCGACGAGACACAGCTGTTTCTGGAAGAAAGTCGAGAGTTCCAGAGCAAGTGGAACGAGAAGGTGTGTGAGACAGAAGAGGACCTAACGGTTACTTGGTCTCACGAGTATGATGATGGGCCACCAAAGTTGGAAGCTGAAGATTTGGAAAAGGTGGACCTGAAAGCGGAGAGAACAGAAATCGAGAGACTATTGGAGATGAAAGTTCTCAAAGAAGTGGAACTGGATGAGAATGGAGAGTTGAAGAAAGGACCGAATGGAGAAGAACCAAAGAGACTCAGTACAAAGTACGTGTTGGATTGGAGGCATAGGGACCTCCAATGGAAGAGGCGAGCCCGCCTAGTGGCGCGGGAGTACAAGTGGCTGACGGACTACGATCTCTCAGCGCTATACTCACCAACGAGTATTGGTTCGAGCATCAAGCTGTTATCAGCTTTGTGTGCGAGTTCAAGAGACTACGAGATGATCTCGATAGACATTTCGGACGCGTACCTTCAGGTGCCACAGAAGGAGTACACGGTTGTGAGTTTAGGAGGAAAGTG